CCAGAATCTCATTGAAAAGTCACGGCAGCTATTTGGAATTTTCCAGTTCCCGATGTGTAAGCTCTGCTATATGAAAGAGTATAAACGGACAGTATGCAAATCTATTAAAAATTATAATCCATAATTATTATTAGTTGCTTTAGTTTAAGTCGGTTCATTTTCCAGAATTACAATAAATATTGTCAGAAACAGATGGCTTGTTGGTTTTAACTTTAAGATCTTAATCCCTCTAATATGATACTTCAGTTTCACCTATTACAAAGGTCTTCCAGAGGGGCATTGTTGCCATCTGTAACGTTAAGCATGTTATTAAATGAACTTCTGTAAACGTCGTGTAAATTAATTACGTAAGACATTTCCTTTTCATCTTCAGTAACTCCATCATTATCCCAAGCTCTAGACCGCCTACATCATTGTTCATTTGTTTTGTTGAACCACGGGTATTTAAATTTGAGTATTCATAATAGGTATTTTGATATCCTAAAATATCCTGTTTTGTATGATCTTTTTGCCTTCTGATCGTAGTCCTTTGTTACTTTTCCTTTTATGTGAACATTACAATACAGTTTTTCACATAAAGGTCTTCTAAATCTACTGAAAAGATTTAGATTGAACAGAAATTATAAAGACTGTTTTAAAGAAACTGACTTGTATAAGTTTTTTTTAATCGTTTAATAGTGAACTTCAGATGCGCTTGTGCATGTTCATTAAAACTTTTTAATGTTTCCTGTTTAAGCACATAATCATAAACTTAGTATATAATAGCAAAGATCTTTTCCCTTTCTTGGCAGTCATTTTATAGGTTTTTATTTTTCCTCTTTCCCTAATGAAACATAAGACTCACACTTAATAAAGGGGAACCTTCTCGGATCAGGCAAAATAAAAAGCGACAGTAGATTTACTTTATACAAAACTTTATCTTTGTATAAAATCTTGTTTCCTCATGTTTGTATCATACCACCAGAAATTCTAACCATCAGATCGATCCCCAAATAGGGATATTTCTTGTTCACATTTAGTACAGTTGCTGCTAAATGACTGTAATATGTGTATCTCACTGTGGCAAAAAGGGATCTGGACAGACTTAAAAGGTTTGCTGGCACTGCATTGGGAGTCTCTGCTTTCCTTCTGGTACCTCTTGATCCTGCTCTATTTTGATGTAATTTATATGGACGTTTCGACTGCTGATATCCATGATGCTAGGGCACAGGACAGTGCAGGCTTAAAGTTTCGCTGTTGATGCAGTAAAAGCCTTGTTGTATGGGGGTTCCATTGCAGCTGTTTCACTACCTTGTGGCCATTGTCTGCCAGGTTAGATTGCGGCTCACTGGCACTCTACTGGCACCCAGTATTGAACTTAGTTTTTGTTATTGAAAATAAAAGGAAGAATTCTGGCTGTGGGACTAAATTACGTATAAAAAACATTGTGCAAAGATCAACTACTTTGTATTGTCTACAGGGTCAATCAAAAGGTTAATAGATGTTCTGGATTTGTTCTAAAGGACTTTAGGGACACTGCAACATAAGTATTGTTAATCTTTTTGAATTTTATTTTTGAAATCACATATAGCGTTTTAAGAGCTAAATGATAAAAAATGTATTTTTCATTAAGTGGTGGGCTATTGAATTCTTGTTTGTGGCCTTTCTTAACCTAATGTTTTCAAAATCGTCTTGTAGCATTTCTTTCATAGTCCATCTTCCCAATAGTGTGACAGGATGGAAATATTCAAATGCCTGCAGATAAATGTATACTGGGTGTGATTCTCGTCTAAATTGGATTAGAAGTAATAATTTTATAACAAGATGCTAGATTGTGAGTATGACTTAGACATACAGTAAGAGTAACTGATATGTTTACCACATAAAATGATTATTGCTTGGCATAAAACTGTAATGTAAGTGTCTTTATTGCTGAAAGGTGAATTTTCTTCCCCTGCTTCCACTAAGATTAGCCTCTAATGTGCTTCATCCGTTTTTCTGCTCAGTTTTGACAAGCTTCCCAGTTCGTGCTGAAGACAAGCAGCCCTTTAACATAATTCTGCCACCACCATGCTTGACAGTAGGAGCTAGTAATAGGTGTTGACTGGGAGATATACTGTGCTGGGCTTGTGGCGGACATAAGGGTTTGCATTTAGACCAAAATGTTCATATTTTGTCTTGTCTAAACACAAACACCTTTACTTTAGTTTAAGCATACAGAAGCACACTTGTGGTGAAGCACACTTCGCTCTATCCTAGTAAACTCAGAGGGAGAACGAGGAAGCGTTAAACTACTAAGTATCAACTAGAAGCATATTCCATTTTGTTATGGAGATGGTATATTGAAGAGGATTGGGAAACTGCATTGACTTGTGAAGTGGTAATTCACATATAAATGAGAAAATTGGATGCTGAGGAGTATGTGGCAGCTAACAATGGGAAGCATTGACTGCCGCTTGGTTTAAGTACTAATTTTGAATAGTTCTACAGTATATATCAGAACTTAAATGTGATTTTTAAGAGGAAACCTAAAATCATTTCCAATTAGATTGATTTCCAATGCAGTGGCCTCAGAAAACGTTAGTTGTGATGTCGAAAAAGCAACACATTTTCCAGTTCGGTATTTATGTTCGAATGAGATTTGTACAGTTGTGATGCTAATACAGTAAATTGTTCTGAAAAAAATCCTAAAGATCCAGAACATTGTAAGTGGCATTCATACAAGCAAGAATTAGAACAAAATGCATATCGAAGCCATAAAAGAACAAGTACAAGGGGGTCAGGCGTCAGCCTGGATGAAAACGACACTATACAAAATACAAAAATATAGACCGTGAAATCTCTGATCTAAGAGACTTTAGTGACTGCAGTGAAAAAGTCTGAGCTGACATCACTCTCATGTTTCCAAAAGTCAGTCAAAATTAAAAGTAGAAAAAAGGAGGAAAGCATCTGACACTGGGTTGTAAATCCATGTGCACTTACAAGAAGAAAATAAAATGGGAAACGTCAGGGTCTTTGAAAAAGGAGATGTTTTCAGAAGGAGCCCTTCTGATGTAATGGCTTCCTCGGCTTCCTGCACTGAAGAAAAATGGTATGGCCATTACTGAGACCCTTGTGCAGGGTACAATAAAAAGGACTGAATGCTAGCCCTCTCAGTGATGTCCTCACTCCTAGAAAAGCATGTTTCTTTTTCAGTTACTGAGTCAGAGGTAAAATGATGGCACAAATTTCTCAGCAGTGAACAGGGCCATATTGTCTGTTCTTTCACAAAATTAGTCATCTATTAATGTAACAGAAGAAATAAACACTTTGTCTCCACCACCCAACCACACTGCTTCAAACCTGGAAGCCTTGCAGGTTTTGTCCTATCCAAGAATCTGTCTGGATCATCCCTCTGATTTCTTTCTGGGAATCCCACTATGATAGCTAAATGATTGCCAAAGTGGAATGATTGCAGTCCAACTATGAAAGCTTGCCTTGGAGAAGCTACTGCTCCAAAAGCAGTCCTCTAACATGAATAATAGAGATTTGAGTGTTTCAGCAATTGTGTCTACATCCCTTGTGACAATTCACAAGTTTGTCACATCCTTCTAACAAGGGGTGATTCTGATCCATTTGCTACATGAGCAGAGTGGTTATTTTAGCTAGCACAGGTTATTGTCTGATTCCTTCATACTCTGCTTGGTAAGAGAAAAAACAAAGAGACTGACCTTTTCCTACTGTACCTCTAGGATGGTACAACAACACAAATATAATAAAAAGCAGAGTGTGGTACAATATAAATTATAATCAGGGTCTGCAGCAGGAGTTCTAACTAGCTATGTATTTCAGCATAATGGTCACATGATCACATGAGTGGGAATATTGTTAACTACATATTAAATTGGGTATTAACAACCACCAAATTTGACTTGCCATTTGGCAAATCTAAAATCAGTAACCACTCCCACACAGGGACATGGATGAGCCAGAGCCTATCCTGGCAAGCAGTGGGCGCAAAGCAGGATACACCCTGGATGGGATGCCAGTCCATCACAGGCAGACACACAAACACACACTCACACCAGGGCCAATATTAGAGAAGCCAATTAACCTACTAGTATGTCTTTGGACTGTGCAAAGAAACAGGACTACCCAGGGGAAACCCACACAAACATGGGGTGAATATACAAACTGAACTGAACTCAGGGCCCCAGGGCTGCAAGGCAGAAATGCAAATTTAACCATAATATCTAATATCACCATGCTTCCTCTCATTAAGTTCAACTAGTTGATAGAAAATGAACTGACCTTGAGGTTCAACCATTGTTTCCAAAACAAGTTTATTTTTTATTATTCTCTCTTCTTTATCTAAATAAAATTACTTATAATTTGTTTTATTTTAAACTACATACATTTTGACACTGTTTGATATTACTGTGTGATTGATTTTCTAAACTTTGGCATTGAAACAAAATTAAAATGGAAAAATGTTACAAATATTTACACATTCTTTCAGGATTGTGGCTGAAAAAGAGACATATCAGGCTTTTAGCTGTTTTTCTCACTTCTTGTAAAAGTAAAGTTTATTTTTTGCACAGAAATTTGGTTTCAGAATAAAATCAAGGACTAATATCCCCAGAAGAATTTGATTCTGTGATCTTGACACATTTCTTTATCTCACATGTTGCTGTTAAAAGATGTGCAAAATTGTTTGTCACAGTATACATTTTTTCTTTTATAGTCCTGTTTTTTAAGGGAAATTTTAACTATTTCCCTCACGGGATCAATAAAGTATCTATCTTATTAAATTATATTTAAAAATGATAAATTTTGAAAATTGAGATTTAATTTGAAAGATATAATCATTTTTTATATTATGCTTTGTAATGGTAACATTAATTTATTGGGATGAAACACAAGCTCCATACCAGAGACTTAAAATAAATGTTAACATAATTGTGTCACATAAGGAGTCACTTTCAAATCCAAAGTAAAATAAAACTTTTTGTGATTACATTTTAACAGTTGCTTACTTCAAACTTTGAGATGAGGGTTGAAAGTTGTATAAAACACTATATTATTTGAAGTGAGTGTTAAATATTGCTTGTTTTTCCTTTGTTAGGATATTTCTGGCTTGTGTTCAACTACTAGGTATAGCACCCATAAATCATCCATGTACCATGCATGAGTTCTTATATTTACCAGGCAAGTTTGGATTACTTCTATCGGAAAGAATTAACAATGAGAGCTTGAGACAATCTGGAGAGTTCCTTTTTCTGTGTTGTTTCAAATTTTAAATAAAATTACATTTTTCCCTAATAGAAAATGACTGAGGGAGATTCTCAGTCAACACCATAAATTTAAATTCACATTTAAAGTGCTAAATGTGATAGCTCTCCTTTTTTCCTCTCTTTATCACCCGTTAAGACACCCATCTGTTTAAAATACTACAGTAATAGCACCTTTAATTTAACCAGCTGTCATTGTCAAATCAAATCCCCACTTTTTGGCTGAGCACCAGTCTCTGCCCCATAGGTTTTGACTCTGAGATGCATATTAGTTTAAGGGAGCAGTTTGTAAAAGTAGAAAATCTACAAAGACAGAGGAGATCAGCACATATCTGCATAACTTTTTTAACATCTTTTGTGTGGATATAATACCGAATGAAGTTAAAACTGATTTTTTAAGTTGACTTTCTGATTTAAGAGCTGGTGGAAAATGGTAGCCCAACCCCAAAATATTTGTGAGATTGCATGCACAAGGTTTAGGTTTAGAATTTAGAAGCCAAAGCAAATCTAAGAAGACATGAACTAGAAAAATAGTAATTATTTCAGCCACAAGAGAAATTAATTGGAAGACTTGTCATCATTTAAACTGTCAAAATTAAATGTATAACTTGCAAAGAAGGCATGAAATAGGCAAAGTACTTAGCTTTATTGATTTTCAGCCATTGTGACATCTACTGTTATTCTTCATACAGATGCAAAGATCATCTGTTTATATTGAAACACTGGAAAAAATGAGAATGTGGTTATTAGACAAGTTAGCTGCATTACCCTTCATTGCAAACCTTCCAACTTTATACTCTGAAACGTTAGACTCTGAAACATTGAACCTCTAAATTCAGAACATACAAAAGGTTAAAAATAAGACGAGGCAATTTTCCTAGGGTCATTTGGTGGTAAGCTAATTCAAGGATCCCATCCAGCAATTTCCTGAAATAGGCAACAACATACCCAGGCTCCTTTTCTTTGTTTTAAATGCAGTTTTCACATAGTTTCCACTTGAATCCTCTTGTTAGTGTTTCACTGTTTATTCCGAAGATGTCAACTGTGTCGACTAGGTCAGTACCTTTGAGGATTTTAAAGACAAGTTGGTCTTAATTTCTGCACTTTTAATTTGCACGTTTTTCATTTCACATGCCTTAAGAATGCATGTTAAAATTGTAACTTAATTTATGATAAAATGGGCACAGCTGGCATCTGTGTATACCATACGTGTATATGCTGCACACACCAGTCATCCCATCATCGCATTTATCTTTTAATAAATGAAATATGTTTATATTGTATGTTTAACCTAATGTTTATATTGTATAAAGTCTAAAATCAATAAAATCTAAAAATAAACTGCTGTGGGGAAAAATCTTTCAAATTAAATTCAGTGCAAAAAAATTGTAAATTATTTTTGAAATATTTTTTTACAATAAAATTGTCAATCTTTCAGGTCAACATTCAGTGATGTATTTAATATAAGCCTACATTTTTATAATCAACTTTAAGCTTAATTAAGGAATTTATTTGCTTTGTTACTTATGAGACTTTAAATAAATGCCATTTAAAACGCCAGAACGACAAAGGATGGCAGGGCAGTCTAGATCCTTTGTGGGCACATGACTGTGCATCTATGGCATTTTCCACGTCATTCACCACCTATAATTAACAATAGTTTTCCTTTCCACATTTAACATACAAACTAACGGATATTAACAAACATTAATTAACAAAATCACTTTTAGTACAACTATAAAAAACATCTTGCATGAATAATTGTAATTGTTTTTATTTGGGCCTTCAACCTTGTGATTGTGGACCCATTGAAGCTGAGGACAGAAGAAATGTCTTTACCCAGAGGATTGCTGGGGTATAGAACAAGCTACTTTGCTGTATAGTTGAAGTCAATACCCTGGCTTCTTTAGAAAATGAGTGGATGAGATACTTGAATCAATTAAGTATTAACTACCAAACAGTCCACATGAGTCTCCTAATGGCCTCCTCTCACTTGTAACTTCTTCTTATGCTCTTATTCTGTGCAGAGCAGTATTATTGTTTTAGAATATGCTGCCCAAGACTATCCACTTTATTCTAGATTAGATCTTGCTAGTGCATTGTAGACTTTTTATTTTATTTTAAAATAACTTAAAATTATTGAAATTGTTCTTTTAACTAAAAGTCCTAATTTTGTTTGCCTTATTTGTTGCTTCCCCACATTATCTAGAATAAGTAAATCATGTGTGAACATAAACAACTGGGGTAAGTCTTTTGCATCAAGATTGAGTCTAAATAGCCTCTTCAAGCTCAAGTTTCCCCTTTTGTATTTATAGGTTGTTTTTGTTACCTGCATGTAATACCCTGCACTTGTTTACTTTAAACTTCATCTGCCAGGTGTCTTGAATTTTATCTCTTTTTCAATTTCATTTTCAGCTCTTCATTTTCAGTGTTTGCTAGTCCTCCTATTTTTGTATACAGTGCCAGAATTGTTCTTATTGACATGAATTGGGAAGAGTTAATTCATTACATCACCCCGATTTCAGCATTCACCTCTTATTTGTACCATCTGTTTTTAATTAACTAGTTCTCCGTTCAACTCTGTCTTTCCCCGAATGCTTAGCACCTGTAATTTGAGAGTTCTGAGTAGCACTGGCTAGTACAGTGTTTCGTTTTTCTGGTTAATGAGAATTCAAAAATACAAATCCGTGACAAACTGCTTAGGATACTGACTACGTGTTTGGTATTTTGGCATTCAGGTGAATGAAGATGTAATGTAAAAAAAGTTTTATTTATTATGGAGAAATGGGTATTTTTAAGACCTGTCTGTAATCTTGGCATAATTAAGATTTATTTTAAAAACACTATAAACATCCAGGGTGTATCCCACCATGCACCTGTAGCTTGCTGGGCATGGATCCATCTCCCCCACAATACTGAATTGAATGAATTGATTAGAAAATGGATGGATGAATTAATCAAGTAATCATCCCTAAACAAGATGAAGCAAGCCAGTGAATGTTATAAACAAACATTAACTTAATTTGTAATTATCCTCCATCTCAGGGGATGCAGTTTTCACATAACAAAGTTGCACAAGTACCATTACAAGAAAACAGCATTATCATGTAAAGGATAGCGATAAAGAAATCTGTAATGTGCTAGATGTGGATTCATTCGTACTAAAAGAATGTTGAGACAAAAAAAATGATGCTTGAAACAAGATTCTTCTAAGACCCTATAGGACATACTAAAATAAAGAACATTTGCTAGCAAGCAAATCTAGCTTTTGATGTTCATGTCAGACAAAACCTTCATTATTACACTTTCTTTTGAAGCTCCAAAGCTCTAGAATGAGCACAGTGGGAAACAGATCCTTCGCTATACTGTCCTCTTCCGTTGGATTGTAGGATGTGCTGCTGCTCAGCCAGTTCATCCGGTCGGATGGGGGGATGCTGCCTCGCCGTGTCACCGGACTGCGCACAGAAGAGCACCGAAAGATCGAAGTGTGCGTGAAAATGGCACACAGAGCTGGTGAGGCAGGCCAACACGTCAGTCTGATTGTTAAATTGATAAATGGATTGCAAGGAATGTACCAGAATGCAATATTTACAGTAATGTTTTAAGTCCTGAAGATAAGTGGCCATATTTTCAGTCAAAGCCATTTTTTCACAGATTTATGGAATTTATGATTCACTAAAATGAGCTTCAGTTACAGGCTAAACCTGGTTGGGAATTCTTGTTGTAGGATGAATGCACAGAAAAAAAAATTCTGCACACGTGTAGTGATTCTTCATTGATCGTTTATGGAATACAAATGATATTTTGGCCAGTCACTTTCTCTGTCTGTCACGGATGTAATTAGAAACTTAATACCTAAAAAAATTATAGCAAAATATCTTTAATTTACAATTCAGAAATTAAAGCATATGTTAAGTTTACACTTGGTCTGCCAGTTTGTTTTCATTTTCTTCTTTGAATTCTCTTAGGCCACCCTGCAGTGTGGGAACTACTGTACACCACCTCAGAATTATTATACACTGTTAAAGAAAAGTATTCAGTATTGGTGTAATCTCTCATTTGCCAATTGCTTTTCAAGGACTGCTTCCAGACCACAAGCCACTTTTGCCAGAGGGTCATGTTCCAAAGAAACAAAAGCCACAGCTAAATAGGTGAGAAACTCTTTTTTAATAATCTGCCATTCATCCTGACACTACGTTTTATACTAGCTGCTTTGTGCTGTAATGACACATTGGCTCTGAGTGCGTGGAACTGAGAATTCCTTTGTTCCCTTATTTCTTCAGCTATAAAGCTGTTCTACAGCTTCCCGGTGGTCTTTTTTAACAAAGGCTGGGTTGCTAGCTCTTGGTTCTTTCTGTCACCTTAGGCAAGTCACCTGACTCTCTGCTTCCATTAGTTGTTAAGTAAGGCAGGGTAGGAGCCACTGTAATTCCAGATGATGCTTCTCAGTAGGCCTTTCCTGGGGTTTCCCCTCCCCCCGGCTAATTAAGCTTCCGGTTTTTGTAACTGAGGTTGCCCATGCTAAGTAGGATTGGCTGGACTCCACAGCGACACCTGCTGAGATCCGTGAGGTTGGATTAACCACAGACTCCTCAGCTCTTTGTTCTGGCTCCCCACCAAGCAGACGGCTGGGTATTTAATAACAAGATATGATCCTCAAAGGAAAACTAATTGCCTTCCATCAGAGTGCCACCACTGCTGGTACTTAACATGCCTTATACATGCCTCTGGTCAGATATTTATCTGCTAGTCACGTGCTTACATAAAAATCTATCACTTCATGCACTTAGTCAGTACAGAAACATAGAAATCTCAATAGCACATTTAAGAATATACATTAAAATATCAGTAATATAGAACAAGACATCTGCAATGTGAAAAATACTGTTATAATAAGGCTGCAAGTATATGAACATTTTCAGGTGTTAATTATTAGATTCGTTTATGATGTGCTTCATAAAGTTAGGTGTTAAAGTGTTTTTTTTCATACCTGTCTATTTAAATACTACTTGTATACCAATTAAATTTTAATTGAAACTATTCTTCTATAGCCTGATGTTTTTGATCATTTAATAAAAGTTTGTAAATTTGACACTGAAACCCATGGAATGTGAAGAATATCTGTAATGCAGTGTTATATTTTTAAATATAGATTTAAATATCTTAAGTGGATTGTTAATATTGATATATTTGGAATTGTGGTTCATGCAAATTTTGCATTTTCTGAAATTAAAAAAATCTTTATATTGAATATAATGTAGAAACTTTTGAATGATCAAATATTTAGAACACTGTATTATGACTAAATGTATAAAACAGCTCATTAGCTATGATTGTACTGCACACAGGCATTACTTTGAAAGTCTTTTCCACTCTGGAGAACCTTCCAATTCTTATTCATGGTTTTAATTGACAGGGAGAGTTAATTTGATTGTTCCTTCAATCATGGCAGGAGAGATTAGCACCTCCAAAAATCAACTGTCTGGTCTGATTTAATAATAGACATTTTGGGACTGATGCTGGCTTATGTTTACAATTCTGCATTTGAAAGTGGTAGTGGACTAAACCCAAAGCTAGTTTTAGCCCTCTCATTTCATTAAGGGAAGTGTTTAATGGTCTAGGACCAGAACAAAAGAGAAAAAAAACTCAGATTATGTCATCCTTGAAGATGAATACAAGACTCCATTTAAGAAATGAGTACCTTTAATTATGTCAAGCATGTTTACACCAATTATTATAGTAAAGAGGGACTTAAAGCTTTTTTTTCCCATTTTTGTGTTATGGGAAAATTTGGTGTCTGCAAGTATTGTGTTGGGTTCACACCAGGAGTCAGTACAATGGAGCCCAGCCGTCTGATGCTTGCGTACCCTACAGAGTGAATTGTGAAGTAGGAGATGTTCCCATGGGATTGGAGCCTCCTTACGTACCTTTTGGTGTTTTTGCTCCCAAAGGGCCAATACAAGAAGGTTAATGCTCTTTTTTTTTGTCTGTGACGTATGTTGCCTGTTTTTTTTCCGTTTAAAATGATAAAATCTGCAGACCAAAAATTTTGAAAAGGAGCACATAAAATAGAAGGTGAAAGTAAAGCAGACACTAAAGTCTCTCAAACATTTTGTACAGCCTGAGTTAGCAGTATAGGCCTGATTAAGTAAAACCACTCAAAACGATTGTACAGTTTTGAAGTGTAAACATGTTAAACGTTTTTTAAATCTTCCCATTTAATACCTCAAAAAGCATTTGCACGAAGGAGTTTCAGCACTGAAACCATGAACAGTTTTATATATTTTTCCATTGTGAAAATCGTCAAGTTATCATGTTTTCCCATGGCTACTTTCTTCTTTGCGAATTGTGAGGAAATTATTCAGAAAGGAAATTGTGGAATCCGACTACACTTTTTGATATGACAATATTTGGGCCTCACTCACATCTCAGTTAGCATATCTGCTTTTTAATTTGCGGTATCAAAGGTGTCGTTCATTATTTGAAAAAACATACATACCCTCTAAATACTTTAATTTATTTTTAAGCACCATGGCTAAACAAACTGAGGTTTTGTAGCCACACCAAATAATTATTGAATAGAAAACACAGTGACCCACATTATAATGTTATGATTTTAAAATGTACTAATAATACTTATAGAATTGAATCTGTATTTTGTTACCTGTTGAGTAAAAATTGCCTCCCTGTATACTATTTTAAATGTAAAATGTCTGTTTAGTTTTCTTAATAAACAAATTCTAACTGGAACAGAGACGATTACGTGGGAACATGATTTAGTTATTCAGTAATGTGAAAGGCATTGATCAAGTAAAGTCAGAGGACTCATTCAAGATCAGCAGCAATAGAAAGATCCAAGGACTTAAGTGGAAATAAAGTTTAGGGCCATTTAAGACAGGAGGCACTTCTACACAAAAGCTGTGGGAGTCTGGCACCTAATTCCGGGACATGTGGTTCAATCTGACTCTCTGAGATCATTTAAGAAAAGAGTACATGGAATATCAAGCTGCTAGCAATCAAATGAACAACATGGGCTGAATGGTCCCCTCCCATTTGTAACTTTTCTGTTGCCCTGTGTTCTTAAAAAATATGTACAAATCCTCCAGATCTGTGCTTTATTTATTAGAGCACAATTTTCAACAATGTCTAAATGTTTCATCATTAGAATTTGTTTTGATTAGTTTGTTGTAAAAAGTGATATGCAAAGACCATTGATTCAGCAGCTGCAACTACTGTATTTTTTACAAAAGAACTGTGGTTTCAGCAGCATAAAACATGCCTTTGTACAAGGAGTTTGGCCACAAACCACAAACATCCAAGCCATTAACCACTGGTCCACCTAACTAACCACCTAAGACAAATTTTCATCATATTATTAATCTGATTATGGTTTGGAATTGCCTTTTTTTTTCTAACACAAAATCCCTTCCTCCTTATAAAAAGTGTTCTCATCATTAGTTATTATAGGTTGGATAGAACATAGTGAAACCTATTATCAGCCTTGTAGTTTAAGCTAGAAATTCTGATTATCAATCAAAGCATTATACAAAGCTATCATTTTGTGGGTTTGGTACAGGTAGAACAATTTATAATTGTTTAGTGACATCTGGGTATTTGAGAAGTGCTTAATGGATTAATGTATTAATAGCTGGTGATCACAAATTATTGCTACTGATTATTGACCCCAGTAAAACTTTTGTTAATGCATTAGTTGAAGTGTTCTACTGAAAACATGATGGAACCTCAAAGAATACTGTAGATCCTTGATTCAATTCATAAATTACCTAATCAGCAGTGCACATAAATGTACATAATTTGCCCCACAAAATTCCACCCTTTAATTGAAGGTAGGTTTACTGTGATTATTACTGTCCCATTTCTTTAACCATGCTGACATTTATTTCATGGAAGGGAGCCCATGTTTTGGAAATGAAAAGCATATGTTTCCTCCACTGAGGGTTACAATAAAAAAAAAGAATTGCATGAGTAGCGCATAACTGGCCCCGTGGACATGAATTTTCATTTACAAAGGTCATTAACATGATAGGCTTTAGCGGGAGTTTATTAAATAAATGTGTTTGTCTGTCTTATGGTTCTTTTAGTTGTGCTTCAAACAAAAACAAAAACAACAGTTGCGTAACTTCACTGTGACTTCTGCTAGGGAAGGACGGCCTCTCTTTCATTCTTCATACTCCTTTCTCCATATCACCCCACTGTTTCTTTTCCCAGACTTTCCATTTAAGAGATTACAAGCTTCTTTTCCTCTGAACTCAGTCCAGGTTGTTTTTCTTCACTAAATCTGCCTTCTTCCTCTTTGTTACAGCTTTAAGTCGGTGTTGGAGATATCGATCTTTGGCAGCATATAAGCTTAAAGATGAAGCTAAAATAAGGGACAGAGGATTTTAGAATTCATTATTAAACTGTGATAAAACACAGTATAGCTGCTGTGAATAGATGTGTATATTTTAAAATTATATGCATATTTTCAAAAACTCAACATTCAGTATGTCAGAGGAATGTTGCAGTAGTTAATTTCTATAATTGGAGGGGGGGCATTGCTTGCCTGCTGCTGGTAGGCTATTCTTATGAAATTATAATGAGAATAAGAACATAATCCTTGAAGTAAAAGAATAATGCAGAAAAAAGTTCCAGAAATGAAGTCACGCCAGAACTTTGTTGATATTGTATGTTATCCTTGACTAACAGGAGAGTTGAAGCTTCTTCTAACTGATTTTAGGCACCCTATTCAACTATGTTGAATCTTTTGATGTCCACAACTTTGGAACTCAAATATAAATCTCAAATGTTTAATTTGCATTCTGCAATAGCAAGTTTTCATTTTAGTTCAGAGATTAATTTTTGTTTTTTGTTGTTCATGTAGTTTTACAGAAGGCTATTTTCTAATCAGGATGTTTGTTTTTCACGCAGTTGCTTGATCCTTTTTTATCTTTGCATTTACCGTAGCTGTTTTTGCAGTGCCTCCTGGTATGAAGCAGATAAAAAAGAAGTATGCTTTTATGGACAAATATGTAAATTTGAAACCTAGATTTGAATGTTTTGGGGGGTTTATTTTGCTGGGAATGTCAAGGACATTTACATTTGATTCCATTCATTCAGCAGATTTCTTACCTTTTATTTTGTGTAGCACACA